TCCTGGAGCTCGCTCTGTAGCCCAGGCTGGCCTCAAACTCACAGAGATCCACCTGCCTCTGGCTCCTGAGTGCTGGGATTAAATGCATGCGTCACCACCGCCCAGTGAAGTTTCTTTAGATTTCAGTGGGTTCTTCCAGGTGCCCTTGGAAATATGCCCTTTTCTAGTGAATTAACATAAGACCTTCTCTTGTAAGAAGCTCATAGCCCACCTGTCTTTCTCTGAGATGTTAAACCCTGCCCCCCCCCAACCTCCAGGAAGTCAACATTTAATCTGAGCATTATTAGAAGGTTAAAAAAAAAGTCTCCATTGCTATTTAGGAATAAGCTAGAGATAACAAAGCAAAAAAAAAAATTAATCATTGAGACCATACTTAGACTAAAAACTCAAGGAAGTTCATCTGGCAGCTACGAGGTGAAAACACCCAGGCAGTAGCAGTGGGACCAAGCTCCTGCCTGGGTTCAGTTGGACTCTTGCTTCTTGAAAATGACCTAGGCCCTTACTGGAAACCTTAATGCTTATGGGTGTCTATCAGATGTCATTCAATCAAATATAGAACAACCTAGAGAGGTGTCCTGACTGGTTTTGTGTGTCAACTTGACACAAACTAGAGTCATCAGAAGAGAAGGAGCCTCAGTTGAGGAGATGCCTCCATGAGATCCAGCTGTAAGGCTTTTTCTCATTTAGTGATCAGTGGGTGAGGGCCCAGCCCATGGTGGGTGGGGCCATCCCTGGGCTGTTGGTCCTGGATTCTGTAAGAAAGCAGGCTGAGCAAGCCATATGAAGCAAGCCAGTAAGCAGCACTCCTCCATGACCTCTGCATCAGCTCCTGCTTCCAGGATCCTGTCCTGCTTGAGTTCCTGTTCTGACTTCCTCCAATGAAGGACTATGATCTGGAAGTGTAAGCCAAATAAACCCCTTTCCTCCCCAGCTTGCTTTTTGGTCATAGTATTTTATCCCAGCAAATAGAAACCCTAACTAAGTCAGGAGGTTACCACTGCTGTCTCTGCTTCACAGATAAGAAAGGATCAAGATCCAAACCAGCCTGGGCTCCAGAGTGGGGCCCGGGCTCAGAAAAATGGAGGAAAAAACCCACCTGGTGTGTTCTAAGTTCTCATTACATTGTGGCTGCCACGCTCCAATGTTGCAGCATCTGATTTTGTGCGACAGTTGGAGTTTGGCTGCTCATCTGTGGTCTTGCACAGCAGTCGTTTCTATATGCCATGCTAAGTTTCTCTGGGGTAGAGAAGGGGAAAAGCCCAGGGGACAGTGACTCCAGGGGTCCCTATCTTGCTTCAAATCCATGCTACCACTGTGCAGCATGCACCTAGGACAGAGGAAGAGGCGTCTCACGAGCCAGTGCAGACAGCGGCAGGAGGGGTTGAAATGAATGCTAATTTTTTTCTCATGGGAGTGAAGAATAAATCTTTCAAAATAAAAACACCGGGGTTGGGGATTTAGCTCAGTGGTAGAGCGCTCCTGGGTTCGATCCTCAGCTCTGGAAAAAAAATAACAAAAAAAGGACCATCTTTATTCTGTTTGTCTGTAGGTAGAAAGATTCCACTGAGTTTAGAACCCTCATGGGTTATTTTGCTTTTAGACATAGTCTCTCTATGTAGTCAAGCTAGCCTTGAACTCACTAATAGCCCAGACTGGCCTCAAACTGCCCCAGTCTCTCAAGCATCAGGATTACAAACCTGTATCATCAGGTTAGGCAAAACTCTTCTAGTCTCCTGTAGGAAGTTTCCCCGAAAGAACAGGTGAGCATGTGTGACCAAGAGTTGTGGAGAAACTTGGGAGCTGGAAGAACCGAGTTCAGATCCAGTCTCTGATGGAAGTTCAAAGGATGGCCTGTGTATGTACATGCATGCATATATGCATTCTGTGTGCATGGAAATACATACACGCTCCCTTATGAGCTTTCATTGAACAGTCAGCATGTTGTACTAGGCACTGGAGTGCCCTAAATATGCCGTGGGATACGCCACTTTGGCACAAGGATCATTTGAGGTAAAGGCACTGAAAACATTGTGAGGATACTTCTGCGATGTGAGAAGGGCATTGTGGGCTTCCCTTTTCTTCCTGAGAGAAGAAACTAAAGCTTCCTTGTAAATGATGCTCTCCTAGACCAGGAAAAAAGAAAGTATTTTCAGCAGACAGGGGACGTTAGCCAAGAGAGACCCCTGCAGACCCCATAACAAGAACTCTTCCCTGTCTATAGTCTCTGTGTACATTTTAGCTACTTGTCCATCACTGCCTGTCTTTGGCAAACCTGGCATATAAATGTGTCCCCTATCCACTCTGGGAGTCTTCATCTTCCGTGGGGCCCTTCATTCATGGGAGTTCTGAATGCTTTTCTGTGGATCCGGCTCATGCCAGCGAAAGCTTGGGCCCTTCTGGGAACACTAAAACCTCAGAGGGAGTTTTACCTCCTCTGCCTTGTCCTCACGACATCATTCTCTTTCAGTCTCTCCCATTTTTATAAATAAAACAAATTACATTCCCTTCCTTTCCTTCGATTTCAGAAATCCCTTAGCCCATGCTTCCCCCACCAGTATATGAAGTTGGAATCAGTTTTATTAAAATAAAACTTATTTCCTTATCTTTTTTTATTTGAAAAACTCAAGGCTACCATAAGCACTTGCATCCCTTCAGCTACATTCAACCATTCATGTGTGCTTTGCATGCATAAGCACACATATGTACATCAACATACATAGGGATTATTATCTTTTTAATTTTTTTTTTTTTTTGAGACAAGGTCTCATTCAGTCCAGGCTGGCCTTGAACTCATTATGTAGCTGAGAATGGTCACGGACTTTGGATCCTCTTGCTTCTAACTTCCAAGTGATGGGGTTACAGGTATTCACCCACCCTACCTGTTTTATGCAGGCAATCAAATCTAAGCTTTGTGCTTGCTAGGCAATCATTCCACCAACCAAGTTACCCACCATGTCCCTTATTAGAGCTTTTGCTTGTCTGTTCATTTGTCTGTCTGGTTTTGAGGCAGGATCTTGTATGTAGCCCTGGCTAGCCTTAAGCTTGAAACAATCTCCCTGCCTCTGCCTCCTGAATGCTGCTGGGACTGTAGACATGTACCACAGCGCCAGGCCTGCTTTTTAATCTCTAACAGCATCTGTAGGGCATGGATGGCACTGACTCAGTCATATGAATCTCCCCTGACTATTTTATTTCCTAAGAATGAGAACAGTATCCTACACATCGCCACGATCACACCCGCAGAGACATACCGTCATGCGACATTTTACACATAATCCACATTCAAACTCTGCCAACGACTTCATTAGCTATGTCTGCATTTGCTACCTCACCCCACGACAGCTGTGTGTCTCTGGGTGTTTCCTCCTCTCTGTCCTCCCAGAAGCTGAGTTGTTTTTTTTTTTTTTTTTTTAAATGAACCGTGTGTCTATTTCCTCACACTTGGATTCGGGTTAACATTGTGGCAGGAATTCCTGCTCAGGAAAAACTCAATACACTGGGGATCGTCAGCAAGCTGGTCGTGAAGGCTCTGACCATGCATCTGCCTCCCTCTCCCAACACTGGGGTGGCACAGTGTTGCACACACTGTGACATGTGATCCCTGGAGAAGCCCAAGAGAAGATAAGCCAGTTACAGGTACTTTCTCTCTTAGAATTAGAAACTCTAAGACTGAGAGAAAAGGAAACACTCTGAGTAACTCAGAGTCAGACCTCACCACTTTCTTCAGCCCACCCCCATGATGCATAGTGTGGATTCTTTTTTTTTTTTTTTCTTCTGGAGCTAAGGACCGAACCCAGGGCCTTACGCTTGCTAGGCAAGTGCTCTACCACTAAGCTAAATCCCCAACCCCTATAGTGTGCATTCTTAATGTCAATATTACTCTGTGTACAGCTGGGGCTGTGCTAGACACAGTCCATTATGACACGCCTACCAAGAACCATCCTCTCCCTCCTTCCTACCCTCCCTCCCTCCTTCCCTTATCTCTTGCTCTTTCCTTCCCTCTCTCTTTCTTATCCTTCTTTCTTGCAGTACTGGGAACTGAGTCTGTCTTTCAAATGCTAGGCAGGTCCTCTACCACTAAACTATACAGAATCTAACCATGTAGCTTATGTCCAGGCTGGCCTTGAATTCACTCTGCAGCCCAGGTCAGCTTTGAACTTGTGATCTTCCTTTCTCAGCTGCCTACACATTGGGATTACAGGCCCATGCTTGGTCTGGTTCCCACAAGTCGGGCTGTTTAGAATCTTTGGTTCCTCCTCTGTTGTCCTAAGAGTATGACAGCTGGGCCTTTATGAAATGTTCATATTATTAGTTTCATTTAAAGGTTTCAAAAAAGAACAGGCTGCTGGAGATACCTCAGACTCAGAACCCTTGGAAGTAAGCAGAGGGATGAGCTGATGGCATGTCCCCTTATTCTGAGTCTTCGAAAGGAGCACAATACACAGAATGAATGAAAATGTCCTGACATCTAGCTCACATTCAGCAACTCCATTTGACTCTGGCTTTGTCAGGAAAGGCACAATTTAATGACATCAGATACCAAAGTCACTCCACTTAAAAAAAAAAAAAGTTAATGCAATAAGATAATAACTACAGTCATTTAACTCAACAGAATGCCCTTTATTTTCAGCATTTACAATTTTATGTGCGCATATGCACTACATCTAATTAAACTTATTCCCCAAATCGTAACTTGTAATTTCCATTATATCTCTCCCCCACATCAACAGCACAACATAAGGGAACAGAAATGGTGAACTGATACGATGCCAAAGAAATAAGCCAGCCGATCGTGAGAGTACAGTTGTACTCTGAAACGCATCTCAGGGTTCCCCGGAGTAACGAACCAACAGGCTGCTGCATTCCATCTGAGTTAAATACGGCAGCTAAAAACAGCATCATGTGAGATGCCATCTGAACTGCAAAGCTCATATAAACGGACAGCAGAAAAAGCTATGTGTGTACTCCTAGCAGAAGGGGTTCCTGGGGAGGCAGGAAGATTAGAAGTTCAAGATCACGTGGCTACATAGTGAGTCAGGCTAGCCTGGGCTACATGAAACTCTGTCATGAAGAGAAAAAGAAAGGGGAGGAGGGGGGAAGAGGAGAAGGAGGAATGAGAAGGAGGAATGAAAGAAGTCCTCTTCTAGTGACACTAACCTAAAAAAAAAAAAAGCCACTATGTTCAGATTTTAGTTACTGCTTATTGAGGTAAAAATATTATTTCCATTTCATATTAAATGCAAAGCTATGGCTAATTCTTCATGGTTTGGCATGTCCTCATTTTCAACTTCCTCATCTCTTCCAAGCCTCAGAAGGAAATTACTTCACTCCTGCCATTTATTTATTTGTTTACTGTTTTGTTTTGTTTTTTTCAAGATAGGGTTTCTCTGTGTAGCTTTGGTGCCTGTCCTGGAACTCGCTCTGTAGACCAGGCTGGCCTTGAACTCACAGAGATCTGCCCGGCTCTGTCTCCCCAGTGCTGAGGTTAAAGGCGTGCACCACCACCGCCCGGCTACTTGTTTACTTTTTGAGACAGCCTTGAGTGTTGCTCAGGCTAGCCTTGACCCTGGGTCCCTTATGCCTCAGTATCCCAAGCAGGTGACACTAACGCACATCACCTGGTTGGGCTCTACCCTTTCCCTTTCCACTTCTTCTCCCCATCTCTAGTCAATCAAACATGCACCTTTTATAAATAAAATCATTTGATACTAGAACACATATAAGCAAAATTAGTGGCACAAAGCATGCTTTTGGTAAGAAACGGGTGTCAGGCTGGGTGTGGCTATTAGCCTCTGAGCGGATTTGTCTATCAGTCAACTACTCAGATACTAACATGTGTCATAGGCACCGACAGAGAAACAGGCCCACTGAGGAGCACTGGAAACTTCGCGTCTAAACTTGGATTCTAGTTCAACAGTGGAAGTATACAAGGTGACCAACTCCCACACAAATATGAAATAGAGATAGTTTATTAGATGTCCATACCATGGTTAAAGTTCAATTAGGGTATAAGAACGATTCTCAACCCATGGGTCGTGACCCTTTCACAGGGGCCGCCGAAGACCATTGGAAAGCACAGACATTTGCATTGTGATTCATAACAGTAGCAAAATTACAGTTATGAAGTAGCAACGAAAATAAGCTTGTAGTTGGGGGGCACCACCACATGAGGAACTGTATTAAAGGGTCACAGCATTAAGAAGGTTGAGAACCACTGGTCGAAGACATTAGGAAATTCAAACTCAAGGCTACTTTTGAATTATTAGCCCCTAGACAATAACAGTAAACACTGTACAAGGTAAGATCATTTTATTTGTTTCATGTACATACCAACGGTGTGGATTGGTTTCCGGTAGGGCATTAGGCCAAAGCTGTACTGGAAAAGTCCTCTGGCATAGAACAGTGGCAGGGGAAATCCCATTAACTTCAGGACTATCTCTTGTACCGTCCGAAGCCATGAGCCTTCGGGGTTGTTAATTTGTTTGTAAAGTTCATTTTCACCAAAAGAAAACACCGGGACCAAATGGGCACTGGAGAAACAGGGAAAGGAAGGATACAGGTTTTACCAACAGATGCGAAATGTTGGTCCGGTTGCTTGTGCAAGCGTGTGCACAAATGTGTCTGCAGGTGCACACACGTGGGGATGCGGAGAAGCTGAAAGAGAGCGTCCTTCCCTCAGAGCTGGCGCCCTGTGCTTTTGCAGGATGCCTGGCCTGCTAGGTGGGTGCTGGAGTTAAAACTCCAGTCTTCATAATTGCACCGTTTAATCCTGGAGCCATTCATCTCTCCAGCCTCGAGGATATGAATTTAAATAAATGATTTCCTTTCATCCAGATGTTTAAAGAAAACCTCCCAAATTCTAAACGCGCTAATGACACTGAATCTTCATTCTTAACTCGACTGGATTGGGAACCGCCTAGAAGACACACCTCTGGGTGTGTCTGCGAAGTCTTAAATGAAGAGGGGAAGATGAACCCTGAGTATAAGTGGGAACATCCCGTGGGGCCAGGATTGAATAAAGAAGAAGGAAGGAGAAGGTGATTTGAGACCAATTGTTTATTGCTCTCTGCCTGTAGTCTGTGGGTCCAACATGACCAGTGGATCCAACCTGACCAACGGCTTCCCGCTCCCCAAATGCCTTCCCCACAAAATTGGACTGTAACCCCTGAGACAGGAAGCCTAAGTAAAACCTTTTTTCCTCAAACTGCTTTAAATTTATTTTTATTATTTTATGTTCATTGGTATTTTGCCTGCATGTATGCCTGCGTGAGGGTGTCAGAAGCCCTGGAATGGGTGTGAGCTGCCATATGGGTGCTGGGAATTGAACCCGGGTCCTTTGGAAGGGCAGCCAGTGCTCTTCACCACTGAGCCATCTCGCCAGCCCCCTTCAAACTGCTTTAGTCAGGCATTTTCAGCAATGAGAAAAGTAACTATTACAGTGTCCAAGCCTTTCCACGCTGTATCCCATCCACATCTGAAACACTGAAGCTGCATGAACTTCAAAACACTGCAAGCTATACTTGAAATCCTTAGGAAGTACTCCAGCAAGCTAGCATGGCCAGAATTTTATTCTGTAGGAAGCCAAGTTTGGGGTGCACTATTCTTTTCATTGGCTGTGGTGATATATTGTGTATCAGATAAAGCTTGCCTGAGGATCAGAGGACAGAGCCAGCCATTAGATTAAACATAGAGGCCAGGCAGTGGTGGCACACAGCTTTAATCCTAGCACTCGGGAGCCACCCTGGACTACAAGAGATTGATTCAGTCTAGGAGAGAAACAGAGCCAGGCAGTGGTGGCACACACCTTTAATCCCAGCACTTGGGAGTCTCACACCTTTAATCCCAGCACTTGAGAGCTCTTGCCTTTGCTACCAGTATTTGGAAGCACACATGCCTTTAACCCAGCACTAGGAAGGAAGTGAAATGGCTGGGTAGAGGAAGGTATGTAAGGAGTGAAGAGACAGAACTAGAGCCTTTCTTAGGCTGACAACTCAGAGGCTTTCAGTCAGAGGATTCATGGTGATAGGTTCTTGCCTTCCATTCGGCCTGAGGATTCCGTAGTGGGGAGAAATTTCTTTAGTGGCTTGTTCCTTTGTCTCTCTGATCTCTCAGCATTTACCTGAATATCTGGCTCTGGATTTTTACTAAAAGACCATTTAGAATTCTTGCAACAGTTGGCTTCTGTTCATTTTGTTGTAAATTTGCACTGAGTATGCAAAATGTTGTGTCTACTGCTTTTTTTTTTTTAATTGCTTTATGCTGTGACATTCCACCTGCCTTGGTAGAAAGCTCATCCTCCATTCCCCAGAACCTGTCCACTTGTCTTTATTGGAACCTTGACGTGGAGAATGTTCTTTAAGGACTAGAAAATGTATCATCATTCTTTGCCCTCATTTAATGTCTTATCCATTTAAAATATACTTACCCTAAACAAACAGCCACTTGGCTAGGCCAGGGTGGGTGGCTCACACCTGTAATCCCAGGATTTGACAGGCTCAGCAGCAGACTCACCACAAATTTGAGGCCAGCCTGAGCTACATGGTGAGTTCCAGTCTAGCCTAAGCTGCATATCAAGACCCTGTCTCCAACAAAACTGAAAAAAAAAAAAAAAGCCACTTACCCATGGGTCAAGGCCATCTTAATAAATCCTTTGCGCTGGCGGATATAGAGGGCGCATTTTTCTGGCTGGGCCTCCAGTGACTCCCTTGCACCCCCAAGGACAATGACGGAAATGTTCCCACCGTCACTCTTGCTCAACACATGGGACACACTCTTCTTAGAAACGGAAACCATCCCTTAGTGAAACAAACAGAAAGTATAACTAGCCATTCCTTCCGGAGAATTATTTTTTTTTAAAATAATATTCTACAGCAATGGTGATGATTTAATTACGATTCCCTACCCTTAGAGAAACATAAGGTTCTGAATGACTCATTCTCTCTCTCTCTCTTTCTCTACAGGCTCACACTAGGCTTGCTGGCCCTGAATTCATTACCCTCAGCTCAAACCAACCTCCCGGCAATCACTCTACCTCAGCCTCCAATGTGTCACATCTGGCTTTGAATGGCCCTTGAGAGAAAAGGCAGGCACTGATGAGTGACAGGACGAGAGAATCTGACCCTGCTTGGGTTGCTTGGAACTTCACCTGAGATCAAGACGTGTCATTTAGCTTAGAGTAACCTGAGTGACAATTAAGACATCTCTTCTCTCGCAGACAGCCCCACCCCCACACTTCTAGCTCTCTCCCAGCCATTTCTTGTGTCCTGCTAGGTTCCGTTTCCGGTCCATTCTGTAAGCCGCAGTTTCTGAGCGTCCCTTCATTATTTCTATTGTCTTCTAGCCTCATCTAGACCCATGAACACAACTACCACTTCTGTGTGCTGAGTTCTGTGAAACCCATCTCCTGGAATATATCCCCCAGCTTCCAGGTCCACCGCGCCAATGGTCAAGTGGAAATCTCCACTTTGAGAGCTCAAAGACACCCCAAGTTCATGTCTCCAAATCCAGTGTATCAAACTATGCCCCAGAGCAGGTCCTGCTCTAACATTAACAATCAAGACAAAGAATTCCGTCACCCATCCAGTCCTCCAGGTTGAGATATCAGTCTGTCGTACAAAGCCCCTTCTGCCGGCCATCAGCTGACTGGTCACTCACTCATTCCAAAGCATTTATTGGACACCTGCTTGTAATATCACATGCTGATAATAATGATAATACATACACAGCTGCTGTCTACCCGAAGACCACTCACATGTGAAGTCTTGGTACTCTATCAAACAGTCTTCCCATCTGGATTTCTACCATCAGAGCACTGTGCCAATGTAGCCCTCACTGGGTCTCCCCGATCTCTACCATAGACCTATTCTGTTGTTCTAGTGTTCAGATTCCACCCATCTATCTAATCAGCCTCCATGCTGCTGTGTGAAAGATCTCTCTATCACAAAACAGACAGACAGATAGCTTTCTTGCTCAAAGCCCCTCAACAGATTGCCTGCGGCTTTACCCGGAGGGTAAAATCTAAAGTCCTCTGCATGAGGCAAGAGGCCGTTGTGACTCGGTCCCTGCTACCTGCCCCAGCTTAATAGGCACACAGATAGAATATAAGTCTGGAGACACATACTAGTGTGGCTGTCATCTGGTGGTTGCCTACCCGCCAAAGTGGGCCAAGAGGAATGGGTTGTACTTAGGGTTTAAGAGAATCTGTAGCCATAGAAACTTCACGTGCGGGAGGTAGGTCACAGGAGGAAGCCTTGGACCACACACTGTCCTCGGGAGCTGGTACTGGAAAATGCCGCTGAGAATTTGTAGACAGTAACAGCCTAATTCATCATTGGCTACAAGTTGGGGTAAGGATAAGGATATTTGGCTTTTAAGACACACACACACACACACACACACACACACACACACACACACACACACACACACACAGACAGCAGGCGGATCTCTGTGAGTTCGAGGCCAGCCTGGTCTACACAGCAAGTGCCAGAGCAGTCATGGCTACAGAGAGACCCAGTCTCAAAAGATCCAATAAGTAAATACGCTAATGATGGCCCATAGCACACAGATTTAATCACAGCACCAGCTCTAGTCAACAGGGATGGCTGTGATCACTCTATTAAGAAAGACTCTGAGACTGTGTCTGACGTGGCCATGGAGAGGGAAAGGCCCGCCTGTCTCTGCCACACCTGTTCTCGACTACTCAAATTTACTGGTGATTCTACTTTCAATCAGCAAAAAGTAAATTTGAAATCTATTTCTGTGACGTTTTGGAAATTAAAACCTTATCTTTAATTTTGTTCCTTTTATAAAACTCTAACCCAGTGTCTACCACGCAAGAGGTCCTTTTCTTTGGTAGTTTTGGGGTGTCAGTGCGCCCTCTAGAGGCCATATGGTAGAGCACTCGGTAGTTCGGGGGATAGGGCGCCCTCTAGTGTGCCCTGCAGCACTCACTGGACTGAGTTCTGCCTTTGAGGCCGCAAACCGGCACAGTCCCTGCAAAGCCAGGGCGATCCCAGTGCTCTGTGTTGTAAAGATCTCCAAAGAGATGCCTAAGGATGACGGAAGTGGCTATAGAGGAAGCCATGACAATCTGGAAGGCAAAAGAAACTAACTCTGTTACTAATAGACACTGAAGTTACAATTTCCTCAAAAAGGCTACTCGCTTTTCTTTATACTCAGGAGCTGCAAACGCAATTATTTCCAACCACCCTACATAATTTTGACAAGTGTAAAATATTCTGTAAGCTACTGAAGCGCATAGTCATGAAGTGCATAGTCGGGAAGCCGGTCAAGTTGGGAAAGCAAATGAGAGTCTCTTGAGCTGAAAATGAAGGCTACTGGCCTGCGTTCAGGCTTCTTTATGTGTTAATAAAGCATCGCTAAAGCATTCCAGACTGATTCAGTTCTCAGAACTAGTGATTCCAGTGACTCATAGGCGTAGTGACACACACCTACAATCTCAGAATGTAGAGGTAGAAGCGGTACTGTTGGGAATTCAGGGCCAGAAGCCCAGCCTGGGTTATAGAGTGAGGTTCTGTCTCAACAAGAGCAAACTGCAACCAACCCAAACCAAACAGCAGAACAGCAGAGAGGTTCCTTTTTTTTTTTTTTTTTTTTTTGAGACAGTTTCTCTGTGTAGCCCCGGCTGTCCTGGAACTCCCTCTGTAGACCAGGCTGTGGAGGGGTTACTTTATTTCTCCCCTCCCTCCCCTTCCCTTCTCCTCCCCCTCCCCTTCCCTTCTCCTCCCCCCTCCCCTTTCTTTTCCCTCCTTACAGATCTGGGGGTAGAACCAGGCCTTGTTCATGCTAGATAAACACTGTACCACCACCAACATCCACAGCCCCAGGAGACACAGACGACCTGGGATGACCAAGCCAGCAGAGAGCAGTTTATGTCACTATCGATACTGCGAGACCCAACGGAGGACATTTTCCAGTTCTAACATCCATAAGAGTATGCAAAGTGTCTCTCCAAAGTATGGTTTATCCTCTCTTTGATAGATGACTTTTTTTTTCACATTTGAACGTACTAAAATGCATTACCAATGTATTCTTCCACTGGATTAGTGTTTATTGAAAATTCCTATGTTCCTATCACAAAACCAAATACCTGGGATGGACAGAAGAATAAAAGGCAGAAGTGGGGGGTGTGAGGAAAATCCACAGAGCATAGGGAGTGTAAAATCAAGGGGGTGCTGTATGTGCCGTTGCCACCCCAGAGCACTGCTGCACTGTGGGAACAGTGGCTGTGTCACTGGGTGCTGTGGACACAGTGGCTGTGTCACTGGATGCTGTGGACGCAGTGGCTGTGTCACTGGATGCTGTGGGAACAGTGGCTGTGTCACTGGGTGCTATGGACACAGTGGCTGTGTCACTGGGTGCTGTGGACACAGTGGCTGTGTCACTGGGTGCTGTGGACACAGTGGCTCCATCACTTACCAAAGCTCATCAGATACTCTCGGAAGAATGGGGTCGGGAGCCAGCAGGAGGTCACATGGAGATATGACGTAAAACCAGGAAATAGCTTCTTGAAGTCCGAGTAATTTGTGCAAAAATTTCCAAAGGCTCCAGGCACGAGTATTCCATGAGGGTGAAATCCAAATATATAATTGTGCCCTAGATCCAAATCCTGGGTTTTGATGAGCTACAGCACGTTCACATTGAGATAAGGAAATGAAATGACCCCCATCATTGAGAAGCGGAAGGGTTCCCCTCTGCTCCTTATGTCAGCGGGAAATGAAGAACCTGAGTTATCTTACTTTCCTGGGTTACAGATGTTTTGACATTTCTAAACCATCCACTGAGCCCAGGGCCCAGACACAGTCTTCCAGACTTTGTCAACTTAGCTTAAGACCCACAAAACAAGGATAACTCTCCAGTGCAACAGTGTAGGGATGTGAGGCTTCATGAGGCGGGGTGGCTAGAGCATGAGAACAGAGAGAGCAGAGACCAACCCCTTACTGCTGGTGTGGATGGGTCCTTCCTAAAAGGACAAGTTGGACCCATCTTACTCTGCCTTTTGTATCTGCCATGAGATCATGGGGCAAGATGATACTGGTTGAATATTGGAACCTTAATATTGGACACCCCGCCCCCCCCGCCCCCCCGCCACCAGATTTCAGACCTGTGAGAAATACATTTTCTTTATGTGGATCTGAAGCTCTGGTATTCACTATAGGAGCACAAAATGGACAGAGGAGCACTCTGTCTGGAAAGGAATAAGGTGGAGCTACACAAGATGAAATCCCACTCCCACTGTCCTCCCAACTCAAAAGAATACTTCAGAAGACAGTTCTACTCACGTGGATCGGAAAATAGTCCTTAAAATGCCTCCACACAGTCCAGCTTCGGACCCAGTTGGATTTCCTGCCTCCTTGCTCTGGGGTTTGCCAGTCGAAGTAGAGCCAAGTCAGATATGGGATGTAAAGGAACCAGTAGTTGCATATGATGAGCATCACCATGATCCCAAAACATACCTCCGCTGTAAGAGAGGGAAGAGTCAGGTGGAATCGGTCCATCAGTCACTGCTCCCTGTACTTCACAACCACTGGTCATGGAAAGTAGAAGATTCGCTACTGTAGGGAATCTTTTCTTCCTACTTTGGCTCTACAGCATAGTTCATGTACCCTTGAAGAGGGCCTATGTTGCCGGGCGGTGGTGGCGCACACCTTTAATCCCAGCACTTGGGAAGCAGAGGCAGGCAGATCTTTGTGAGTTCAAGGCCAGCCTGGGCTATAGCATGAGTTCCAGGAAAGCTACATCCCCCAGATCCATTCCTCTCACTCAAAAAAAAAAAAAAAAAAAAAAAAAAAAAAAAGAAGGCCTATGTGGGCCACAGCCCCCATTTTCAAGAACTCTATTGTCAGAAACAGAAATAGCAATGTATTAGTTACTTTTCTATTGCTGTGACAAAATGTCATGACCAAGTGAACTTATAGAAGAAAGTGTTTCGTTTGGATCTTATTGTTTCAGGCCATGATTAGGGAGCAAAGGCTTGGAGGCAAGAACAGTTGAGCTCACCTCTGCAAGCAGGAGGCAGAGAGGGTACACCGGGACTAGCACTTGGCTTTGAGAGCCTCAGAAACCTGCTGGCAGTGACACACCCCCACCAACAAGGCCACACCTCCCAGTCCTTCCCAAACAGTTCCACTAAGGACCAAGTATTTAAACAGATGAGCCTATGGGGGCCATTCGCATTTAAAGTGCCACACACATAAAAGGGCGCACTTCAGGTTCTAGTGTCTATGAGTTCTTGCTCTGTTTTATGAGAGTCATTCCAATCTTTTAGGTATTAACAATATTGCTTAAAAACATGGGGAGGGGGTGAAGAAAACTTGACCTGAATATTGACAACAAGAAAAGATAACTTTACAATAATCCATTATGTTTAAGGTATACTTTTGGTTTTTGAGACAGGGTCTTACTATGTATCTCTGGTTGGCATGGAACTTATCATGTAGAGCATGCTGGCCTCAAACTTACAGAGCTCTGCCTGTCTCTGCCTCCCAAGTATTAGGATTAAAACATGTGTGTCACCACACTTGGCACAAAGAATATAGTTCTAAATGTTTGACTTATATATTATAGATGAACACATTTATAAGCCAGGTGTGGTGCTGCGTCCCTGGGAGAATGAGGTAAGAGGACTGAATTCCAGGCCAACTTAGACCACATAGGGAACCCCTGTTTTGAAATGAATAAGAAGAAGAAATATATCAATAAGAGAGAGAAGGGCAGAATTAAAGCTTAAAACCTAGTAGATGATGATTATTCACTAATGTAGGACCCTTTAGGAAGCTTGCTCTTCAGCCTGCTCTTATGCAGTGAGGCCTCCTAGCTAGAGGGCTCTCCAGACCCCAAACTCCTGTCTACTCCTTTTTCAACCTTATTAAAAAGAGTCCTGTACCAAAGATACATCACGGTGTCTTGGTGACAGCCACTGGATCTCACCCTGAGACACCACAGCTCCTTCTTCTCTATGACCCAATGTGTAGGGATACCCCTAGTGGTTGCCTGAAGCTACTGGCTGCTGGCCAGTTGCTTTTACCAACATATACATATCTGTGCTAAAAAGTCAACTAATAAATCAGGCACAGTAAGAGACTAACAAAAATCAGTAGCAATAAAACAGAACAATTAAAAGCAATACACCAAAATATTAAATATTATTCAAGAATTAATGTAGGTAGAGTTTTTCATTGGGACCACCAGCTCACCAATAACCACACAGAAACTTATTATTAATTATAAATGTTTGGCCAATAGCTTAGTAGCTAGCTCTTACATCTTAAATTAACCCATATTTCTTATCTATGCTCTACCACATGGTGGTACTTTTTTTCAGCATGGCATGTTGATCTTGCTTCTCTCCATGTCTCCTGGAGAGTCCCATGACTCTGCCCTTCTTCTTCCCCCCACTCTCTTTTTTTTTCCTGCAAGTCCCGCCTAACCTTTTGCTGCCCAGCTATTGGCCAGTCAGCTCTTTATTAACCAATGACAGTAATACATACCCACAATGTACAAAAAGATTGTTCCACAGCAAATTAATCATCTTTAATTCATTTATTCCTTTTAATCTTTTGTTCTGGAATTTCCTATTTAATATTTTCAGACCTTAGTTGATACTAGATAATTAAAACCAGGGGAAGTAAAAACTACATATAAATACATAGATTAGGAGGGGCTACTACATACTATACATAAATACACAGATATATGGATATATATGACCCAAACTAGAATTTTATTTCTATTTCCTATAATATATATTATAATATATATATCATTGCTTTTCCCACTATGGATTTGACCAAAATATACATGTGAATGTGGTCAAGGACTGGCTTGTTACTGGTCTCCAATGTGAACAATGTTAAATGTCAACAGACTAAAGGTTGAGGAGGCCTGTGTTCTCTTCCACTTCTGCGCTGTCTTACTGCTTTCTAGAACTACCAAGAGTGTGTTCAGAAGCAGGGCAGAGAGGCTGCCCTTTGCTCACATTCCTAGCAGGACCATTCCATTTTTACTTCATCTGCTTCTCTCCACCTGGGTTGGAGTACTGAAAATTCACTACCTTTGGTTAATTTTCTTTTTATCTCAGTAAGGTGTGTGAAAGATTTACAAGACACGTAAACACAGCTCATTCTGTGTTCAGAGTTCTAGTGGATGAGCTAAGGTGAAGCGGGAAAGGAAAGAGCCGGGATTGGGTGGGAGTCAAGTCCTGCCAGTTCATAAGGGAACTCATCTCTTCCTCCTTTAAGGTTCACACTGCTGCTCATATTCTACATTTGTGAAAATGGATGCCATTGGAATGCGACTCTCCAAAGGATTTGGCCTGGGGTCTGTCTAGTGCCTAAATCTGAGCACTGAAAACACCACCACCACAACCAAACCAAACCAAGCAAAACCACCAAACACCCAAACCGCTATCTCCCCATGAGTCCTTGAGCTTAGACATATTTGTTATCAGTTCATATGTGGGTTCATAGCATAAAGGATCAGGCACATAGAAACGTGTGTTTGTTTCCACGAATATGGAGAAACTGCCTTCAATAGTAAACTGACTTCCTTTTTCAGTTGCAGAGGTATCCAAAAAGAGGTCGAGAAACAGATCCACCACCCCCCTGCTTCAAATGCAGAGTACCCCAACCCAGCTGCACAGGCTCCACTTGAATATACCCCGCAGATCTCGTTCATATCTATCACACATTTCATATGCACAGTACCTAAGTGGTGAGTCTGAAACTGGACTTCCTGTGGTAGAATTCACCACTGACCAGGCTGCCTAGCCTGGGGCAGGTTTCTTTACCTCTTGAGTCTCAGTGCCTCCGCCTGTGAAGTGGGTGTCTGTGGGAGCCCGTTCTCGGGTTCCTCATGGCTTTACCCAGCAGGTCCGCATAGAAGAGGATGATTAGGACCATGGGCCTGAGTGCAGGGGTCTGAGATGGTCTGCACTTGGCTGTGCTGGGGGGAGGAGGTCTTTTGCTCCACCCCTTGGCGTCTCTATAAAAACCCTGGGGCAGAGACAGTCGGGGCCCGTTGGAATAGGTTCCAGGCCCTCTCGAGGTTATCCTTTATTTTCTATCTGTTTATCTCCACAATCTAAATCCTTCTATCTAATATTTCCTGCTG